CAAAAGCTGGTCTGGGGCAATGGCTCAGTGGTTAAGCACAGTACTGCTTTTGCAGAGGTTAGGAGTTTAGCTTCCAGCACCCACATCACGCTGCTCACAACTGCTCGTAGTTCCAGCCCCAGGGGATCTGATGCCCTCTTCTGGCCTCTTCAGGCACCTGCATGCACATACATGACCCGCCCCCACCCAAATATTTAAAAGTAAAAGCAACTGCAAAAGCTAAGGTCACAGTGTACGTAAGTGCTTGGTTTTGATGGAAAAGACAGAGCTGGCATTGTAACTCAGTGATAGAGGACTTGCCTCACACGCCCAAGGCCGTTCATCCCCAGCAACAGAAACACACTTGAATGGGAGTGTGTGTGTATGTGCGTGTGTGTGTGTGTGTGTGTGTGCATGTGCGTGTGTGTGTGCATGTGTGTGTGTGTGTGTGGTATAGAGAGAATGCCATGATATTCTTTGTTTCAGGCATCCCTTGGCATCTTGGACCATATTCCATGTGGGAAAAGAGGACACTATTGTAATTCCCATAGTAACTGGCAGACTCTCCATGATCCATGAGGCCCCTTCTTCCCCGGAGTTCCACAAATCTGCAAGTAGGAAGCAAAGCCCTCAGGGAGCACAGCACCATATTAGGCTGAAGCCACTCTTGGCAGGCATGCTGTGGGAGCTCAGGGCCCTTGGTGCCGTTCGGATTGTGCTTGGGCAGTCTCCTGGGAGAGTTCATGTTTTTCACTAAGGTTGGGTGGACTGTAGTTGCCAGGACCAAGGATGACCTCACGTGTCCTTGCTTCCATCCTGCCATTTGTTTGTCCATCTATCCTTCCAATGGAAGGTTTTCTAGGGGCAAGACACTGGTCTAGACTCCGAGGCTCAACTTGGAACTGAGCCTGGGGGTGCAGGCCTGTCAGCCCAGCTGCTGAGGAGCCCGAAGCAGGACAATTTTGAGTTGGAGGCTGCTCTGGAGAACTTAGTGAGACTGTCACAGTACAAAGAAAGTTTAGGATGTGGCTGACATTAGAGCATGTGACTGACGTTTGTGAGGTCCTGGGTTCAGTCCACATTCTGAAAAAGAGAAAAGGTAGCTCCGTGCTTTGACCGGTACCACCTGTGGTCACCTCATCCTCCCGCCTTGGTAACGGCCTAACTGCTGCCGCCTGATCCCAGTGGCCAAGAAACTCCTGGTATTTAGACAGTCACCCGATGTTGGAAATATGCCCATGGTGACTAAACAGCTCCCACACTGACCACGCAAGACCCAAGTCAGAGGAACACGTGACCATCATACTCCCCAAGGACGAGCCGCCCGAGGCTCAGAGAGGTGCAGGGAGTGACCTTTGTAAGATGCCGGAGCTGAGACTGTCTTGACCTTGAGCCCTGGGCTCATCGTCTTTCTGAGCCTCAGTTTCCCTCTTAAAAAGCCAGAGCACTGAAGCCTTCTGTGTCTACCTGTGAGAGGTCCGTGGGAGCTTTGAAACCGATACCGTCCTGTATGAAAGCTCAGAGGACATGGAAATGAGGGCATTGTTGGGTGTGTTTTATGTAAAGATGGGAAATTTCCCCGGAGTGGCTGAGGAGAGAAGCGTGTATAATACACTATAACATTCAGCCATTACTACTTTATCTGTGTGTCATTTTAGTGTTCACACGGCCGTTTCAAATCCACAGCCCACCTTCATGGGGGGGGGTGGGACTTGAGGGAGCTGATAGTACACTAGGTCCCCAGTTCAAGGGCTTAATAGTAAGGGCATGCTCCTTTCTCTCCCTGTGGAGGGGAACCCCCCCCTTTTTTTTCTGAGTGTGTGCCTGTATGTCTGGTATGTCTGTGTATACGTGTCACAACATATGTGGAGGTCAGAGAAAATCCTTCAGGAGTTAAGCACTCCTACTGTGAGTTCTGGGAAGCTAACTCAAATCCCGGGGCTGCCCTGCAAGCTCTTTTATCTGCTGAGCCTGCCCCATGATGGTGAATTTCCATCCTCAATTCGACTGTCTACTCTTTGATTCTAAATCTAGTCAAGTTGAGTCAGGGTCATGTTTTCTAACCCAGTCTGGCCCTCACACTTGCAGCAATCCTCCTGCCTCAGCTTCCTGACTGCTGGCCTTATATGTATATACCGCTAGGCCTAGCTTCTGGTACTTCTCACGGCCACACCCAAAGTGTGTGCTCACTGTGGCTCACAGTGTGACAGGTGTCTGTGATTGTGGCGTTAGATGCCTTGATCCTGAGACCATAGAACTGATATCTTCCTGGGATGGCCTGGCGGTGGGCAACAGTGCAGCAGCTGAAGCCAGGCCAGGCTGCAGCCCCCATCCTGCGCTGGTCCCTGACCTCACGGATGAATATTCAACAGACTCCATATTCAAAGACCTTTGTTCTTGGTTAATAACAGTTCTTTGTTGCTGCTTGGAGGGAGGAGTGACCCCAAGGCAGCACCCATGCCCTATTGCCTTCTATGCGGAAGCTCCTAATGGCTGGAGGCAGCCCTGTCTGATAGAGTGG